GTTTATTTTTCGATTAAAATTGAATTTTTATCAGATATTTATTATTTTGAAATTTAAATAGATACTTTACCATGATGAGTTTCCTACTCGTCTTAGCCCTTAGTCCTGATGAAGAAGAGTGGGTAGATATATAATTTAAATGATGAATTCTTAATGACGAGTGGGTTCAAGATCAAAATTAATGTAATACTCATACTAAGAAATAAGTACTTGTTAATATTATTATGTTTACTTATTAAGCACTCCTGTTTATTTAAACGGTAGTTGTGCTAATAATGTATACGTATAAGGAATATATTTGACATACATGTGAATTTTTGGCACTTCGGTGATATATTATCCAAATGCAAATGAAACGATTTCTTAACTAACACTACGTAACCAGTCACAGATGCTATAAATAAATAAATAATTTGTGTGACCACCACTTGGTAAATTACTTTGTGAATTCTCAATTGATTGAACGAATATAATTGAGTATTTTCTCAACGTACAGTCAAAACTAATATGTTACTCAGGGCAGAATACTAAACTCTATCATTCAATCTCAGTGGGTGGTGTGTATTAGTTACCGCTTTGCTACGTTTACATCAATTGATAGTTATGACATTTGCATTACAATTTTATTATTAGGCTTTTTTCATCACTAAATTGTATTTTTTTACAATATTGAAAATATTTATTTTTGTTTACACAGATAGGTACGATACGAGTAGACAGATTGTAAGATTTGTTGTGTGTTTTAGGCGTCCATAAGTTAGGGTAACCCGTTAGCATTAGTTGGGCCATAGGCCTGTTAGCGACTTCGTAGTATAAAAAAAATACTAGTTTGAATGCAAGTTAGTAAAACTATACCAAAATTTCATTCTAAATTACTTCATACATTTAATTGAGAACCTTGGAAAAAATATTGTATAATATTACCTACATTTACTACTTAGTTCTTTAAATTAAATATTAAGTGTACAATATGAGAAGGGCATCACAATGACATACTAAGTTAGTTTTTATAACTTTTACCACAGACAAGATGATATTATTACATATTTACTGACTTGTTATCAAGGATGCCAAAATATGTTACAAGCCTAATAAACTTAAATTAGAAGATGAAATGAATAATAATTAATATTAAATATTTAAACTGACATTTTTAGATTTGTCTGTATTTTTGTAAAAGCAACGCAGACGAAGCCATAGTTCATAGCTTGTTTTATAAATAAAATAATATTTTCGGAGTATTACTTCATTCTTTAAGTAAATTTAATATTAAACTGAGGGTAGGTAAATCACAAGTCACTTTCAATTAGCTTCTTTGAGGCCCGTGACGAGGGTACGCCTCAAGACCTATAATTTTAACTTCGAGCGTATTCACTCAATGGAACAATCTCCCTTAATGTCACTGAGATGGTGATGGCGGCAAGTTATTTTATTTATGGAAGGGCTTTATACATAATCCTTTCCAAGATTCCTTTGCTGATTGGAACCCTTTGCACTTTTGATCTATCTATCTGACAGCTCATTTATTTGTTTAAATATGACAGTAATGGATTAATTATACTCGATTTTATCATCAGTTATGTTAGAATTATATTACCAGTTTCGAACTCTTTACCAGTATGATCGTTATCATAATGATTTTAATGATTATGAAGCTAAGTAGACAACATGGATGAACAATATATCCTCTATTTGTTAACAATTGATGCCAGGTTTTCCGCAGCCTATACCATAGTATAATTTTGTTATTGGATGGTAATCGTTCCACTACCTGTGGCCGGACCTGTGTCTATTACGTTAATGAATTGTAGTCCATTTAGTGACGGTAATAAGATGAATTAATAGATACATTATAATAATACGCTGGTGCTTACATAACTGGTGTGAGAACAACATAGACAAATTACGGGTCTTTATTATTAAGAAGGCAATGCCATCTGCCTCATTTAGGTTATGTAGCTTCAAAAATTGCTTATTGTGATTCTGAGCTGTAATCTACCTAAATATAAAATTCCTTATGCCTAATAAAATATATAATTTATTTATACACATACGTAATAAAAATGTAACTAATCTCTGTATATAGAAAATATATAACATAAACTATTAGTAGAAGACTTTATCAATGTAATAGGACTCAAAACAAGTATTGTTAGGGTTTTTGTCTGTTAGTCTATGCATTTAATATTAGAAATGGATTAACTGTTTTAAGACTACTTTTTACTAATATACTGTAGTTGTTATTTTATTCCAATCGGTTTCTAAATTAACTATACAAAGTGTAGTTTTGTGCCTGTCCTTGGTTTCCCAAGTAAGCTGTTCCCAGTATCTTTATTGAATAAATGAAATTATAAATACTTCGGCCCGTCACAGTGTTCTATTTTAGATATTACCAATGCCGTCCATTTTTAATTATAATTATTATAGATACCTGTTTGGGTATGAATAAAATAAAAGTCGGCTTTCTATCTTAAGTGGACTATCTGATGAAGTACAACCGCTACATACATTTTAAAACTCCTTTCAATTATTCCATAATATTCACGATAAATGTGAAAAAATTAAGGTCGGTGTAAAAAATATTACAGAAAATCATAAAATACCTATTTAACTAAAGCAGTGTCTAAGAATTCATCCAAAACCGCCCAAAAAATATACAGTTACGCGGTCCGATTTTATTGATGCATCTATACCTACTCTATTAATCATCTATCTGTACCTGGAACATCCTAATTACTTTAATATACAGAATTTAGTTACTGTACATTAGTAAACAAGAAATTTCGCAACCACTAGTGTGTGCGATGAATTCCCACTTTACCGATTTTTATAATTTGCTTTATAGAAATCGATATCAACTCAACATTTCAAAATGTCTAACGTATTTCGAAGGTTTATTTTACTACAGCCAGTAGGCATATCCAAGAATAATTAATGAGAAACGTTAACTCCACGCGCGTTTTTCGTGAAAATAAATAGGTTATCTCGCGACAGACAGTTACTCGACTCGACACAACTAAATTCAGGGAATAGAGTAGTACGAAAAATATTGTATCATGAATGAATAAAAGTGTATCTAAAAATTTATTGTTAGATATACTATATAGTACCATTTGTTTAGGTCATTACATGAATATTGAATGAAGAAGGGTCAGACGAAGCACTTAATTACAGATTAGGGTAAAGCTATAGTCGTGTTAATTCCATTAAACGTATCAATGTTATGAGTATGATATATAATGAGTAAAATAATTCCCTGAATTATTGATTACAACTGCTTACTATATAAAATATACAGTAAAGAGTTCTTCCACTTCGAACATTTTCCACTACGAAACAATGCAAGGAAAATTACTGTATTCTGTACTACCGCGATATTCTTTTCATTCCTATAGGGTAAAAAAATCACATCACACTAGCAAGCAAATTTATTGTCTACCAAGTTATTGGCTGTTAGACAATTCGGCAATCTTCTAAATTTTGTGTTCGAAATCTAAATCGGCGAAAGTACTTTTATTTTATATTCATTCAATATCTTGTTCTTTTTACTTACAAAAATAGTAGGTACATAGTTGGTGGTAGTCAAGTGTCTGGAGTTCAATAGGAGAAACTAATGTATTATAGCTTCGCCTATTCTACATAGCTTATAAAATTAGGTTCATGGTGTCCTACGCACGAAATTGGAAAATATATTACGTATTACTAAGTATCTATTAATCATTTATGCGATACTTATGATAGAACGATTTTTTTATTGTAGCCTCACCTTTTTCTATTTCCAGCAGCTTGCTATGTAAGCTAACTTCTGGTTGAAAGGAGAGGATAGACAAATTACAAAATATCCATGTTTAGTAATTTAACTATCCTCTCCTTTCGGCTTCCTAAATTTGTTCTTATGAATGGATGAGGATAGGTACTATGGAGACTACAATGTAACACATATCATATATTTTATGATAATCATGAAGGTTTCATTCATTACATCATTTACCATTTACCAGATACCCACGCCATCAGCTTTTGGTATTTCAGTTACATATGTTTTTTTATTTCTGTTACTTAGTTGCCTAGTTCATCTTGTTCTTGTTTTTAATGTTTATTATTTTTTTAATTTTAGTGTCTGTATATTATATTTTCCTCTTTTTTCTATCTCTGATACCTAATATTTTTCATCTGTGCCTTTTTGGTTTCTATTATTATTTTTGTCTTTGCTGATTTTAGATAAGTTTAAAACTTTCATAACTATATCTTACGGCCATATCCAATAAGTAACTATGTAGGTACTGTAGTAGTAGGTATGTGTACTGAAGAAAACATATACATATGTCTTTGTTGAAAATTAAAAAGTAGACAATTACTAATTTTCCAGTATTAACATAATATTAATAATATAAGGTAACATGTAACTCCAGTCTTCATACATATTAAAATAGTACAACAAACAAATCGAGGCGATATTGAGTTAGGCTATCAAGGTATATTATTTTTTTTAGGTACTTTTATCTAGATTTAACTTCAATTTCAACATTCTGTTATGTTTATTCCAAATTACTATTACGAAAATATAATTGTACTTAACATTTTTCCTTGCTACTGAAAATGATTAAAATGTTTCATATTTAGTAAATTTATTCGTACGAGTACCTACGCCACTACATCGCAATTTTCTTTTGTTCCAGATACGCCGCCGGCAAATAAAACATAATTGAAATTACGGGTCAAATGTTTTCTCTAATATTAAAACCGTCCATTACATAGATCAGTGTTATATTGATGTTGTAAAAATTGTATGTAAATATTTGTGGACCTTCAGTGTTAGTAAAATCGTGTAGTAATTTAGTGACATTTTGAGTGTTAGTAAATGTTGAGAAAGGGGGTAAATCTGTGGTACGGGGTGGGGCGTTGAGCGTGGATGGTGTTGATCGAGCGCTGGCGATGGCGGCGTGGTGCGGGGGGAGGGATGGGCGCGGGCGGCGGTGAGGTCGGTGCGGGGGGGCGTGATGCGCAGGTGCGCGTGGTCGGTGTGCGTGGCGTGGTACGCGTGCGCGGCGTGGTGTGCGTATGCTGTGTTCGCCGCGACAGCCGGGGGCCGCGAGCTGCGCGTGCTGCAGGCGGACGCGCGCGCCACGTTCTTCGTGGGCATCGCCGCGCCGCCCTCGGCCGCCGCCGTCGTGCGCGCCTTCAACCAGTCGCTGGCAGAGATATCGCACACGTACCTCGCTGGCGACAACCCACTTCATCTGCGAAACATCACGCTACTGCCTCTATACATCGAGCTACCAGAAGATGAAAGGTAAAATATACGGATATTGTTATTATTTCTCCTTTTTCTATGCAATTGACGTTATGCAAAAAAGCTGATGAGTCACTTGATAGTGAAGTAGTAGCCGTCGCATGTATATATGTATATATGAACAGCATCACGGACATCACATCATCATGATGATGGCTGCGATGATATAAATATAAGATGATGATAATAATTTCTCTGCCATATGCTGTTCACCCTTTTGTACCAAGTAGACGGCGTAGTACAGTTACGCCGTCTACTTGGTACAAAATCTACTTTGGCAAATTAAGTAACTGCGTCACTTCCTCATAAATTGATATTGTATAAAATGTATCTAACTCCGGGGCGGCTGGATATGTTAGTGAAAGTAAACAATTACTTCGAGCGCAAAAACCAGCTATTTCTACCAACCCGTTATTTACTCATTTTTTACGCACATTGTTGTCACTGCTACCGAAAAATGCTTATTAATCTCAACAAAACCTACAACACTGTATCGTATCAACTATTTGGAGTAGGTATATAGTGTAGGGATAGAATACATATTATAATGTATATAAGTCCTATGGAAATTATAAAAGTAAAATATGTTACGTAACCGGCTCACAATGCCATGTCTGTAAAAGTAACGAAACAATAGAAAACACTTATATCTATACTCAATACAAAATGCATTGCCTTCTATTCCGAAGGGCCAGATACAAAAATAATATTAAATATTGGGTATACGTTATTTTCGAGTCGACTTTTTCGAGAGTCGATACATTAGTATCTAAAGTATCTATTATATATCTAGATTTTTTTTTATTGGATTCAAAACATACAACTTATAAAATAAATACTTTATTTATATTTAATCGAATTACGTGTAATTCTGTGGAAGTCCATTTCACTAAATTGATTTTTATTATTTTGTTTAATTCCGCTACAAATAGCATCGCAATATTTTATTTACTACTAAATCAAATCATTCATATTAAAATCCCACAAACTACATTAATAATGTGTACAATTAATTTATATTATTAATTTAATATTTATAATGATATTATTTAATAATCAATTATGATGCTGAATTAACGTGGCTATGAAGGTCTGTAATGGTAATAATTTTATTAATTTGTTTTAGTGAGCGTGATTGTCTATACTAGTAAAATTTAGTTAGACATGTTAGTCCAGACATCTTAATAATCTGGAATGGTAACGCATGAATGGTATCACGGGTGTCATATGATTCTGTGATGTTTATAGTTCTGTAGATGTATATAACTGACGATAACCATTAGGTGGGCCATCTTGCTTGCCATTGCAATTACATAAAAAAAATCTTAAAATAATATTCATTATTGATTTTTTTTGTGTATCTACATATACATGTAGTGATAATATTTATTTATTGAAACTAAACTCAGTTGTTATGTTTTTTTTTGGAGTAATGTATAGGTTACTTCTATATTAGACCTATATCTACTAAATATATTTCACGTATAAGTCGTTGTCTCTGAAAATATATTTATATTTGAGACAATTTCAATAAGTTATATAAACTATTTTATTCTCGTTTATTTGAAAATAATAGGTTTACATTATATGCGAATGTCCTTATTCTGTTCTATCTATAGTATTACTGAAGACAGTCCTTGTACAATGAATCGCTTCACACTGGGTCTTTGTGACAGTTTATCAACCTATTCTACTATTCAAGCTTGTGATCAATCAATAAACAATTCTCATCACAAATATACCTATAACAATGTATTTATATGACATTGTGTAATGAAAACAACTGATTTTGTATTCAGGCAATTTGAATTAAAAACCGAAACGAGATTTGAGCACAAAAATGCGAAACACTTCACATCAGTCTATTATTTATGATTCCTATTGTGTAGGGCACAATAATTCCGCCAATCTCACACATAAAATTACACGATACACGGTGGACACGTATAAAATTGCAAAAAGAGGTTAAATCGTTCTCAGATGAACTATCGATTGTATTCCGTCGTTATAGTATGAAACCAATCCCAAAGGTTCGTCGCAATGAATACTTTTCTACATAACATATTAATTTAATATATTATATATATGTTTCAATGACAGAGCGCAAAATCTAATTTGAGGAGCAAGTACTGCACTTAGTTTTACTAAAACTAAGTTGTTTTTTAATGGATGATAATGGAATGTTGCACCCGCCTGTGCTACGCTAGCGCGGGACCAGTAGAGGGTAATAATATAAGCATGAGATCAGGTCAGTTAGCCCATATAATGGGACCAAGCCGGTATCATTTTGAAATGGTACATTGGTAGCGATGGGATTATTAGAACCACATTAACAATCCCATTCTCCCAAAATCAGTTAGTAACTCAGTTTTATTTTTGATTAGCATCGTAACCGCATGTAGCGCTACAATTCAAAAGACCTCTGTAATATTTAGTTTGACTAAAAGTTTCGACTAAAAGTTGGACATATTATTAAATAACAGATAGAGATATATAAAAATATTTTCAGAATTCAAAATTCTGAGTGGTTTCATATGATTTCTTGTACATTATTCTTTGTTTGTCTAAAAGAAATAGAATAAACATTTGCTTTTGATATCACTAGTATTTACTATTTATGTATCTTGTAATTTCAATACATACCTTATTTTATTTAAAAGATAAATAAGATGTAAAATTGAATAATAAACACTAAAAATATACTTAGGTTTTCAGAATATAGTACTTCATAATATCCTAAACTTGGTTCTGATAAAGTGTAAGATGGATAAATTGCAATTTACTGACAACGGTACACCGTTAAAACTGTTATGAGAAATTTATTAAGCCTCTGTGTATTACTTTAATAAAAAGAACCTCTTGTTACTAAGAGGTCGTTTATAAATGACAGAGCACAGATGCCGCTAAAGTTTTAAACATTTTATTACATGACTCATTGCTAGGCAGGTGTGCGGTACGATTTTTAATTGCATAATCCAGTATATTCTTAGTATATTCTTATTGTTATGTATATTGTTACTAATTACAATTTATTATACAATTAGTAAGTTTATGATTCTGTTATATAACTTTTTAAATACTTTTTAAGTATGTACAAACATTGTCATAAGTCATGATATTTTACTTAATTATTTAGACATTATTCACGGTTATAATGTATTTATATTAACTTACATATAATGTAAATCATGTACATATATTATATTATTACATATAATATATGTCTTGAATAATTACGTATTACTTATCTCTGAGAACTTTGGTTCTATATACCATGGATTAAGACTGACATGTCGTGTAGGTGGTTGGTAGCAAATCGCTTTATATAGCAAATGTTAACTAGTTAGTGTTAATGTTAAACAATTACCTAATTTATATAATGGCCTATTAGGCTTTTAATCCCACTGCTGGAGAAAGGCCTCTTCCTCGTACCTTCATGCCTCTCTATCTTCAGTTTCATCAACCCATATCTTACCAGCAGAGTGTACTAGATCATCGACTCACCTTCGAAAAAAATACATTATTGGACACAAGATAAACCCAGTATCTAGTGTCTAATAGTGTTTTTTTTAATGTAACTGTAATGACAAACTAGCTGATGGCATACCTGATGTTAAGTGGTATTCGTCAGTTACATATATGAATAGTACAACGGACATCACGTTGTCATGTGTTAGCTGTGATACCACCATGTAAAGCTATTTCGGTGTACAAAGATGTTATTCCACCATATCCTGTAATTTCTAAAATGGATCCTGAAATTTCACAGTTTTTTCTCATCCTTGTAAACATATTTCAAAGCAAGCTGTTCGGTGTAATAGGTAAGACTTGACTTGACAAATGGCGTTTACGAAGACTATCTCTGTAAACCACTTGTTTTGAAACCCAAATCTTTTTCAATCATCATAATAAATGTAACGCTTTTAGAATTCTCCTCCACTATATAACTTACCTACTTATCGTTTAAATTAAATTTAAGTCCAGCCAGTTACAGTCCCCAGAAATGGCGATCATTTATCATCCCTGCTATTCTCAGTAGAGTCATAAAGTCGGGACCCACAGACTATTAACCGCAGAAGTCTTAAACCTTTGAAATGACGTCAGTGTCACGTCATTTTATTAACATTGTTGTTTAGTCCTGCGTGAAAATTATATACTACGTGAGATTCATGTGTGCGTAGGTAATATGCATTTTTATAGTCCACGTCCCTTGCGTCGGACAACTAAGATAAAAATTCTCCTTATTTTTTTTAATAAAATATAATGGAATACTCTTGTCTGTGCTGAGAGTATACACTGCTACGTCATCAGTTAAAGATAATAATATAATAGTATGAGGGTGAAAACAATTTGCAAATAGTAACATATTTAATCATAAATAACTGCAATGTTTTCGACTACAGTTATTTTGTCTAAAGGTTAGTGGTGATATATTTTTTTTACTGAATGCAGAAAGTTGTCCATACTTAGTCAGGTTATGATTATCTTCTTTTTACTTTAACCTTTTCACAATTATTTGTATTATTAACTATAAATGATCTAAAAAAGTCAACTAATTAATAATTGCTGCTTTGAAACTACTGAGGTTTTAGTAAACGAATTGTATGGCGAAGAAAAATTGTATGATATAAGGCGATAATGGGTTGAATGCTTCAATTGAGAACTTTTGTAATTATTTAAATCACTGATATTATTAATATGCAATGCATTGTCACAAATCAGTTATATACAATGAAATAGATGATATTTTCTAAATAAAAACCACTTTAAATTAATTACACTTAAAATAATTCAATGGATATCGGTTTAAGAAAAATAGCTATATTTTTAATTCTTAGTTATCAATATTTATTGCAAATATTTTCAAAAACTCTGTGTCAGTATCAAATGTTATATGGCATTGTTTCCCGAATTTTTTATATGTAATTTCATACAAACACTCCATGCCCGCTTTAGCCGCCACTCGTTGCGCCTGCATACTTGTAAATATTCCACCAGTTGCTTTAAGACCCAAAGTCTTTGTTAGTTTCATTCTGAAAATAAGAATAAAATTTTACAATGCGAAAATATTTTTGAATATTTCATAAGAAAAACTTTTCTATAATCTATCGATCGACTTGACTATCAATGAATCTACCGAATATTTCTAATATCTCTCCTCCAATACTAAAGACCAATCGAGAGGTATTTATCGAGATAGACTTTCTTCAAAGTGGTCTCCGTGGTCTTGCGTCTCTTTCTAATATATTTTAATAAGTAAGCAATTTGTTTTGTAAGCTGTGTATCAATGATATAATAACTTACTACAACACTTTAGTTCATATTAGTGAGTGACGCCCACATATTATGAAATTATATCCATGATATTGTTTATGTGAGACATTTGTACATCAGGCGACCGTTAGCTTATTTATTTTAATTGACATAGGAAAATATGGAGTGTTTGTATACATAGTTAACATTTAAAAACTTTATATTAATTTAGAGTGATGAAGCAATAGATACTGTGTTAATAAATTCATCAATGCCACTAAACTGTCATCAAATTTAACGGTATCCATTTAGTTAGGTACACTTTTGTGCCTTTGGACAAGAAATTTAAGACGAACCTCGCTTTCAATAATTCGACACCAATACCGAGGCCTCTGTATTCTGGTGTTACAGAGAGGCCAGCTCCCATGAGATATTCATTCACGTTGTATTTATCATATATCACTGTCACTTTCATAGCCTCTACGAACAAACGTAGCGAAGTTAAACCTGCCTTCGTTTTCGGCTGCAAATAAAATAATATTAATATAGGTTACTTGAGAATCTCTTCTACAGTATTAAAAAATATACAAAAAAGGGCACATAATAATAGTTTCAAGATACCATTAGAAAAGATTGATCATTAAAATAATATGAATGTAGGTGGTAAGAATAGCTACGAAGAATAGCTACTTCAAATAGATTTTTTTACAATTATTATAGAATACATATATGTACATATATAAGAAGTAATGAAAAACTTTGAAAGTTGTATAAATTACATAATTAGTTATGTATACCAATACCACACCTATGTAGAATTTAAAGTTTCTAATCCTATAGATCATACCAGACTATGTTCTAGTTAATCGAATTTATTTTTAGTTTAAAATTAAAGTACAAAATATATACATAAACGTATCTATGCTGATATATAGTTTCCTTATTTAGTTTTAGTTGCATATAATGGTCATTACAAAGTTCGTTGTCAACTCACACTTTGACAAATTTTATTATGCAGAAGTGCTGAGTAGACATACTAGACATGTTTTCAAAATTATGCCATGCAGTTTATTCCTCAGCTTATATACGTAAATAAACAGCAATCTAACTCCACTGCCTTACTTTATTTGCCGACATTTCAGTTGTATCTCAACTATTTTATGTCGCACAATTCAAACCACATTGTTGGAGATTTTATATTATGTGACTTTATTTGTATTAGTAATGCCCTAAAATGTCGTGAAGGTTGTAAAACTAAACTGGTTATATTTTGATACATGTACTTCTATTAGTAATCTGTTTTTGATTTTTATATATTATATACTATGTAGTTGGTAAACATTTTTCTGTAATAATAATAAACGTCACAGAAAATTAACTTTTCTGTTGTAATATTTGTTAAATACTAGTCTACACGTTACAATATTAACTAAAAAATAACTTTATTTCATTGGAAATATAAATGAGTTTTTATTAAAAAATAAGAATTAAAAGTAGATAATATTTTCAATACTGAAAACTTATACCAGCATAATAACGGAAAGCGAAATCTAGGTCGGCCTTGAATGGATACAGACGGGTGAATAAATGGGAATGGATCCAGGGTCGGGAATAATGGCAAGAGCAACGAAATGGAATCTAAAATAAAAAGATTGTATTTGTGATAAAATAGACCAAATAAAGTTGATGTAACTTGATGATAAACACAATTTTGTTAAACACATTCACCTCTTCTTTAAGATGTAGATACAAACCATATTTTACATATACTACAGGATAGAAAGAGTGACGTCAAAGTCCCCATATATTATTTTGGCCCATATTTTGCATAGTTGTACAGCGATATTATTGGTTTTGGGATATGCATTGGGTTTGGGATATAAACTAATTATGAATAGTTTCTTCATAATTAGTAGCACAGTTTAATCAAGTGCCGGTTCTGGGGGACTTTGCCTCGTATGCCTCAAGATATAGCGTTCCAAAACTTTGGCAGTCATAAGGTGTCGCCAGCGGGCGAGCGTACCATGGTTATACATCTTATCATTTGGAACGCTATATCTCGGGAAGACAAAGGCCCCAAAACCGGTATTTGGACAAACGATCCTACTAAATCTGAACCATATCCCAAAACTAATGTAGCTGTAGACCACTATACAAAATACAGGCCATGATTACCATTACTGTTCACGAAATTTATTTTTAAATATAACGATGTCATGATAATATTGGTATTACTTTTTATCAGATGACGTTAAATACAATATCTATGGAGAATCACCATGAAACTAATACTTTTATATCTGTTATATTTATACTAAAGCTACTATTAATTTTAACCGTTATAATGTCGAAAATTTGTCACAATCATTTATAACCGGGCTGTGTTCAACGAAGCGTCCCTTTTCTTGTGGCAAGCAAATGTTGACACCGACAAGCGTGTGTCCTGAACCGTCTCCAGCTGCGAGGAAGCACGCCAAACTCATTTTCTGCTTAACAATCGATGTCAGCAATACTCGGTACTCTTGTACTGCATCAGGATTCTTCGCTGTACCTGTCGATATTCGTAATTATTAATTACCCGTCATTATACTAACTACATATTAAACATTTCTACATTAATAATTTTATTTTATAAAAGATTGCAGTATGCAAAATTATACCGAAACGCGATTGCTTGCCTATATTATTATATTATCTGTGCCTATATTATATTAATTTTCATATTTCATTTCAATTGGTTCATATTCATCTAATTAAAGCTCTATTAAGTTTATTTGTATTAAAATCGAGCTTATAGTTTTTTGAAATTTATATTTTAATATTACAATAGGAGAATTAATTAAGTCTGCTTACAAATTAATGACGTGAAGTCTTAGTAAATATCAAGTTTCAGTTTAATGGATTAAGATATATGTCTCAATTTTGGGATCTCATACATAGTATAATTTTGGAAATACGCTATTAATATAAATGTACAATTAAATCGGTAAAATAAAAGTGCGGTTTAGCACATCGATTTACTTCTAACGGTCGCGGGTTCGAGTACTCGACAATACAAATATTTGTATTCATGCGTATGATTATTTATATATTGATCTGGGCATTTTCTATGTATATTATGTACGCATTTACAACCTTATCACAAGCTCTACTTAGCTTGGAACTAGATGGCACTGTGTAAGTAGTCCAGGAATATTAATTAGAATTGTGTTTTTTTTATTTTAAAACTATAATGAATCGTAAAAAAAGCTGATAATTTAAAAGTTAATTTTACTAGTCAAGACAACTACTTAACAAGTACGATTATCATGATATTATACAAGATTATTATATATTATAAAAGGAGGCAGCAGTTACATTTTTTTTTTCATTATCTACAGATTTTAGCATTTGGCTAGATTTCTTTGTTTCTAATCATTGTTTCTAATCAAGGTTCTATTGCAATAGTTGTTATTATTTTATAAAGACATGAACTAGTTCTAGTTTTGTCTCGTTGAAATGATTCTCCTTCGCAACACTATATCTAGAATATAATAAATAAATAAATAATAATAATAATAAATTTAAATTCACCGCTTACTCAATATGTTATACAATAATAATACAAAAAAGGATGACACGTCTGAAAACATGTTATTATTTAGTCATTCTTTATCGCTTAACATAAGCCCAATGAATAAAGTTATAATTTTGAAACATGGATGAGCAAAGAGACCCGAGAAAAGGGTGTCTAATGATACCACATTTGAAGTATCCTCCTTTCTTCATCCTCAACGTAATTGAGCGCTCAATCCGTCCGCATCCCGAATACAGCTAATGACTTAGGTATTTTCTTGTGTAAGAAGTGTGCCCCGACGTAACAGGAGATTTTGCTAATTGCAAAAAATTCTCACGCACAGATCAGGGATTCATTGATAAATGTTCCTTAAGAACTTAAAGCCCCATTCAATTTAATGTTGTACGATAACAAATTTTCGGAGAAAATTGTTTTTAATTAATTGCTACGATTGTTTAAGTTTATTCATATTTTGATTATTATATCTTTCTTTTACTTTTGTTTATTAGTAAAATTATGGTTTAAATATAAATAAAAATTTGATCGTTAGAAGATAGATTGTTAATAACAAGAATATAAGTGAGTAACAAATTGTTTTTAAAATTTACGACTGTGCCAAAATGCAAAATTAAAACCACGATATGTATTATGATTTCACAACATATAACAAACATAATAAGAAAGGAATTTATGTTATCCAAAAATAACTCATATAATGAAATTAAATACTGGATATTAATTTTAAAATGAAATTTCATGTTATTTTCTATATTTTATTATTTGTACATACCAACAGTAGTCCACCAAACGTCTTCCCTTAAGTAATTTCCCAGCATAAATTCCACTGCAGTACTCCACATAGACTCCGGAATATCAGTAATTTCGAATGTTAAAATTCTTCCATCTTCGACTGTTCTCTCAAAACGACTCCACACTACAGAAGGTTGTTGGTTAGACATTATTATTTGAAAACACAAACGTCTTATCTGAAGCTTTAAACGATTTAAATATCAAATGAATTGTAAGCCATTCAAAGGTACCAGTAGAACTATTTATATTTTTGTTATGAATACAGAGTGATACATTTATGTCGTTTGCTTTTATAAATTTACTCAATTAATATTATCGCGTTTGAGAATTTAAAATAATATAATTAAAAATATATCTTTCTAATATTATTAATGCGAAAGTTTGTGAGTATGGATGGATATAGGTTTGTTATAATAATTTAGTAATTTGATAAAAATTACCGAATGGATTTTCATAAAACAGTACAGTTACAGTACTAGTAATAGTAGCTTATACATCAGAATAATACAGAGGCTTCAAATTTCAACGGGTGAAGCCACAGGCAGAGCTAGTACATTCATATTTTATTACTATGTACGGACATTAATGAACATGCAACGTTTTCGTCTTTGCTGACAATTGTTTCTACTTCATCCAGAAGTTGAAGTTTTTCATTTGAAAGATGATCCATGTGAATTTGAAATAATTATCCCGAAAGATGTAAACGTAGTATATTAGGTATTAAATTCCCGTACACAGTTATAAAATATTAGTGTAAATATATGATCAGAGCATAAACAAATATTTAAATTATGTATTAAGACTATAGAATGAAACGTAACTGTCCGAATTTATTTCATTCAGATAAATACAAGAGCTGTTAATCGCACAATTTTTTTATGATTAAAATTTCGTAGGTGTTATTTTTGAATAATTTGAATTTGCTGATTGAAACATTTTATTGTTTTAATAGGTATGTTAATTATATAAACGTCAATTATTGTTCTTTCAAATATCCTGTGATTTCATTATATGTGTAGATATTATTATTTACATGACGTTGTATTTTGGAATGCTTCAAAGTACAAATTATACAGTTATTAATCTGTTATGCAATATGTGACATATTGTCTAGTTGGTGTACTACTATGATTTATGTAAGTTTCCAGAACTTGTAGACGTTATACTGTTATTAATAGTTGTAGTGACAAACTACGAGTGTAGACTAATGAAATGTACAGCTTGAGAAGCGTTTACCTGGTAAGAATTATTAAGATTAAAATTATGTTAAATTTTGGGTGCGATTTAGGTTAAAATTTATTCCAGTTACTTTTTGATGATGGAGATAATGTCGAGGGGATAAATTATCTGTGACTATTACCTATAAAAAAGCTACATTATATAGCGCTATCTAATTTTAAACTAAGATATCGTTTACACTACTTACGAGAGCAAAGAAAATATCCATTTTAATATAGGCAGTATAAATATTATTATTTTTTAAATATTCGAAACAAACTGTATAAATTGTCAATGTTAAAATGCGTAAGTAAGTAGGTCAATGTAGCTCGTAAATGATCCACCGAGATCCAATTGTGGTTGAAATTGAGATATAGTAAACTAATTAATTTCTCGATGAAAAATTTCCAAAAACCACAAGAAACAGGAAGCGTACTAACAATTCCTTAAATAAGTCTTTAAAAACTCCAAAGGTCGTTAATTTGGATTTAGCTCATACAATTATGGTTCTCCACGCATATAACTAGGTTTCTGATAATAAAATTTCAGTGATAAAACAAAAATAACTCGGAGTGGTTATGTGGATAACTTTGTCGTATTCCAGATTAAATTTAACTACTTTTGGCGAAATATAACGTGCTGTCACCACAATATCGACAGTTGATTATGAGTCTGTCTATCCCACCAAAGATTTGAAAAAGGCGATATTTAGTGACTTGGAATAAGTCTAAACACATTCAAAATCTAAAAACATCCTTCTTTAATCTATACCTATATACCTATGCACGTACAACAAAAGCAGCAACCTGGCAAAAAGGAATGAGAGGAACGTTACGGAGCATTTAACTTTTCACTGAGTAAAATATCCAAGAACTTAGTGATTAGATAGCAGATGAAACTTGTAAAAGGTGAATCGGACTCCTACAGGGGTTGAACAAATTCTGTAAAAAGAACACATTTTTATTTTCCTTTTATCCTGTGTATTTCTTTTTGCTTAGGTACATGATAATTTATTTAAGTCTGAAGTAATTTATTTAGATGGTAAAATACTTTTCGTAGTACTTATACGGCTTGGATTAATTAAGTAATGTTATAAATTCGGAGTACATAAATATTTTTATATATGAACGATTTCAAGTGAAATCAAATGCAATACATATTTTTTAATGCAACTAATAGAGTAAGTGTATTTTTTAAAGAGAGACAGTACCATTTTGAAGGTGTTAAAAAATATAGGCATAATATTTTATTAAAACATTTATTTATTTCAAATTTCATCAAGTTAATGAAAAACTAACAGCTTATATTTATAATAGTTGTATCATTCACTATTTAAATCATGTCATTTGTAAGTCTACCGCCTTTCTCAATATTCAAACCGTCGTGAATAGTTAACCAATATGATATATCGATACTTAACCAATATGATATATCTCTTAAGTCTTTATAATAAAAGAGTGATCAGATCGACTTGTCGTTAATAGACAATGATGTTTCAGGTTCAGCGCGCGGTTATTGGAGCAAACTTGCGCTGCGGTTGGCGGGCGGCGCGTGGCGGTTTTGTTGGTCTGCGGTGGCGGCGACGCGGCATCCGCTGTTGTGTCTGCGGCGATCCGCGCCGGCGTCCCTGTTCTACGCGCTTCGCCTTCCCACTTACATCTCTCCTATACCATCGCTAATGTGAGTATTTTTTGTCCAATACAAGATAGTAGCATTATGGTAGGCGGTAGGATCATCTAGGATAGTGAACCCTAAACTAGGTTAAACATCCAGACCATCAGATCTTAGAAATCCAAATCACTATTTCAGGTACATTGTGCTGTCTAAAATTAAGTGGGGAAAGTAAATAAAGAATAACAATTATTCATTAGATCGCCTAATAATATAAATTATTAGTTGTCTACGTACTGACAAAAATACTTTGGCATTTTGTGCATACTTGCAACTAAATAATTATATAGTAAAAGGTAAACATTAAATATATAACAAATCAATTATTCGTTTATACATTTTCGTATAATAATATATTGTACAGTGTAGATTAGTTTTCTATTACAAATACAGATGTAGATTTTGGATATTTCTATACTCACCTAATTCAATCAATCTACTGTTCATTGTGTTATACCTATGACATTATTAGTTGGCCTTACTAAAGTTTACTTGTTGAGTTGTTGAGATCTCTTAAAAAACAAATATATGCACCCTCAAATATGAAACTGACAAAATTGAGAAAGTTGGCGCAACAGTCTTTTGTTGATATAAAATTGGAAAATATATCAAAAGAGAAAATAATACAATGACAATAAAAATATTTTATTAAAAAATATATGCATTGATGTAATAATCGGTAATATAAGTAATGAAATGCTTAATGTCTTTTAAATAATATATTAACACTATGAATAATATTATATTATACAGTTTCTGAAAACACGATCACCGTGGTATTGACACACTCTTGATAAAAACATATAATATTTCCATAAGTTTCCTTTCTTTTATATTGAGTGCATACCTATTATTACCGATACAATATAAGTGACCGTTTTTTCTTAACATATATACCTCTTGAAATAGTTTTATATTTACGTCTTTATAAAAATGAACTAACAATAAGATTATATTCATATAATGTTCCGGTACGAAAGATAAGATTCAACGGTGAAATTATAGGGTACGGAGGAAGGTTATTTGAATAGAGCGTGGCAGAGTCAGTGGAGGTATTCCTATAATAGTAACGTATTGGTAGTTTAAATATATTCAGTGATATCTATTGCATCAAATTATTTTATGCTTATTTGCCATTCGGGTTCCAAATAAATTGATATACTTAATATTGAAATGATAAGTTTACATTCTTTTAACAGGCATTGAAGGAACAATATATAATAACTCTTATCTATCAAATTAAAAAAAAAAAACGTAACAAACCTTAAAATATTTTGGATATGTAATTTGGTTTGAATCGGTTGCTGGATAAAAAATTATTAATACCTTATTTGTCATTGGTAAGTAACAATAACAACAAACAAAGTTTCAATAACTTCACTGTCATATGTGTCATTACTATCTCACACAGTTAGTACAGACACCCTTCTCGCACAGTACAGGCTCTTATTGCTTGTTGTTCTCCAAAAAAAAAATCGTACACATATTATTGAATTCCACACTTTTAAATTCCCATTTTTCTGTAATCCTAAAGTTTTCTATGACAGTGTGTAAAGAATAATATGAAAGCTCATAGGATGATAATCACCACCATAATACTACTGTAATTCTGTTTCTCGTAATTGGTTCACACTGGTCGTTTATCGTCATACTGTTTGTCTACTAAAAAATGTATGAAATTATTTTTTCAGAAAGCATAGTTGACATTGTTGCGCTTAATAAAGTGACAATAAATAAAATAAATAAATAAATATCTACCTAACGCTATGCAAATAATATTATGGAGTGAGGTTATGCGGCTGCCAAAGATTCCATTCATGTCGAGCTATTAATCGTGGCTTCTATGATAAAGTCTGGAATAGCCGACTGCGGTATGATATAATGTCTGTACGTGACAATCCCACTTCCGGTATAATTTATTCGTTTCGTTGGTGACTTCGCCTACGTTGTTTATAGATGTCTTAATAGATATACTATTAAAGTAGCAATAAAAATACCTAACGTTATTTTTCAACCTATTTTTTATCACAAATCTCTTTAAAAATGCATATATTTAATACCATAACGTAGTTATATTAAACATGGTAACTTTTTTTATAACTGGCATAAGGCAGATGATTTACACTTTTCATCAGGTGGGATATAAGCTTGTTTACCAAGCTTATATTCCACTTGATGAAAAGTGGAAACCATCGCCTACATACATGAACAGTATATTGCTACACCTACATATATATTTAAACTTCAATGCACAAATAAAGGTGCACATAGCGGTCTTAACACCTTGAGGCATTTTCTTATAATAAACCACAGGGAAAACAGAAATTAATGTGGGTGATTATCAAAATTTATTAATTATGTAAAAGAAAATATACTTTAAATCTAATCAAATATTATCTATATTTAAATATATCATACCATATGCGAACATACTTATATAAAAATAATCTATAATAACACATATACACGCTATTTATAAATATAAACTACATACCTATACCTATACAATTAAATATTTATACAAATGTGCAATGAAAATCAGGTGTGTAAAGGAGGGTGGTACAGAGGAATAATACTTTTTAAATGTGAATTTGAAAGCGCTGGATATAATGGGTAACTCATGCCAGTGTTTATTGGTCTACGGTTTAATACATCCTACAGAAATATCCAAATATTGCTGTATTATGATCCTATATGTTATCGTTCATCAGGAGTTAGGTGTTGTCGTAGTTTGCAAAGTTATTAGATAGCAACAAAAATTGATAGTGATTATATAATATATATTACATTTCATATTATATGTAAAATAATAAAAAAATATTGCTTGGGAACGTTATAACAATCAAAAAAAGAATAATAAGAATCGAAAAATAACTAAAATAAAAAAAAAACTAAATACAAACGTACAAAATTTCAGAAATTATAAAAGCTCGGTGCTTTATCTAAAAACAATTCAGTTCAATGTTTACAGTACCTTTTATAACGAAATTACCTATATAACCTAACACAAAGAAAACAAAATGGGCCATAATAAATTATATTAAAAGTTTTGTAAATGTTTGTGTCGAAGATTGTTTCTTGTTCATTCCATTATTATACCTGTTGTTTGCATAAGAGAATATATTACACACTTATGTTTAATGTATTAGGATAAGAAATATATTGCTGTTTTTAAAATGCTAAAATTATGCAATATATGTGCAGTAGTAACCGTGTATGTTATGTTATCTAAATAGTAGTTTTAACTATTAGATTTTACTAAATAAACTTTTTGTAATTGAAATTTTCCTTCTATTCGTACCTCCTGGTATTTTAAATGAAAAGCAATTTTCTTTAAACAAGTAATAATCTGATTTGTCTGTCTGAGTTACATTTAAAACTTCCATTTTGAATGATTATTTAAATTAAAAATAAGAGAAGGATACTATAATCAGAATTATGATGTATATATTTTTAATTTTTGTAAATATATTGTGGTAGATCTTGATTTTGTCTTTGATAGTTCTATGTTTATGGATACGTGGGTATTATATAGTATAGCTATATGGAGTATATAGACTCCGATCGATCCCCCGTCCAATTCAAACGGGGATCGATATTACGACGGCCTGAGCCGAGGTTCGAACCCCTAGTGGTGCCATCAGACTAAACGTATCCGTGAGGCAGAAGTTGGCCTTCAGCCGCTCCATAAGTCCTTCCGCGGGTTTGGAGTGCCATCTGCACTCGCCCCCTAATGTCCGGTGAAGCTGTAAAGGCCAGCTGCGGCCAACAGCTTTAGAGTAGTCCGAAAAAAAACTCCATATATATTAACAACAAATATAAAATGCGGGGTTTGTTATAAACGAGTTGACGGCAAGAAGCAGATTTTATGATGTACATAATATTCTCGAGAATCAAGGATATTTCTCGTTTTGTGGAACTTTTTTAGGCGCGCATATTTTTCTTTCCAGAGATGTGAGCAACTGCCGGCCTGGTGTCGCGGAAAACGATGGTCATTTATTACCCACTTTAGCGACGATTACGCCCTGACGTGAACTAATAACGTTCTTTAAAAGCATGATATCATTAATTTGATAGTATACAATTCGATATTAGAATAATATTAAACAATTTATATTCAAATAGCAATTAACAAAGTCGATTGTTGAAATAAAAACTTATTTTTTAGGCCACAAATACTTTCGGAACCAGATAAACAACTGACAAAGTTTTGGATTTGGTTTAAGTAATTAATTAGTTTTTGGCAGTTTAATTAACAAGCAGAGGTCTAGGTGGTAGTTGTCTATCTTGGAATTTACCTATTTAAAAGTTATAAAATTGCTGTGATTCTATTTGTATTACACAATGGTATTACCTATGTATATTGTCAGTATATTAATAATTTATTTATTGTTTGCAGGAAATGCTTCCTTTGGAAATCCGACTTGAAATTACTGCAAGAGAAACGTTACATGCTCTCAGGTATGACTTATCGAATTATATAAATGTATAATTATGTTTGAAATATCACTTGTAATAAGTATATAAAAAGCTAATATTATTTACAGGGCTACCCTTTTGCATACACATTGGCATTCTTTTACTTTACTTGCCGTGGAAGATATCTATTCAACGTTCTCTCTAAGAAAAGATCTGTCTTCAATTCTCACAGCTCAACCACTTAATCCGAAATGGCTTTCTCTCCCCACAAAATACTCCCGCCACGCTCTTTTCAGGTAGACTTTATTTATATAGTTTTCATTGTATAAATAAGTATATAACCAACACTAGAAAGGTACATTTATTTTTAATGTGTATTGGTTGTCGTTACTCAGAATCTGTTTAAGTTGCATATGCCCAGGACATAATCTGTGTACTCTTAGTTTCTGCTACATTATTTGAAGTGGACAATTTAACTGAAATGGTGTTAATAATATAGATAAATTGTAATATATGATTTAAATAAATATGATCTGAATGGTAATAAAATTTCGACTCGATTTAAATTACAGGCGACTTGCTGAGGTTTCAAGGTTAACACGAGGAGTTGTTGTCTTGATATGTGACATTAATTACGCTAAGCATGTTATGGATGAGGCCAAGCGTCTGAATATGCTTGATGGGCATTTTTTCTGGTTATGGATCGATGCTTCTACAGAGTTTGATGTCTTCCATAATATTGGCAATAGAACACAATACACCGATAGTAATTATCAAGACTATGAAAGTTTTATAGAAAAGAGTACAACATTGCGACAGGAAAAAAACAGCGACCGTTATAAAAGAGATGACACAGACAATAATTTCACAAAGGATGTAACCACCGCATCTAACCAATTCGATAAATTCCCCAATCAAATAGTAAATAATGATGATGGAATAAATGTAAAGAATAGTTCAATAAATTCAATTTTTCGTCGTATTAGTAGAAATATAAATAAGTCGGAAGCGCACAGTGTGAACAACAAATTATTAAATATAAGTATTAGTCAGTCATTTGATATTAATCGCAATATTAGTTCAGAGGGTGTTAGTAATTATTATGTAAATAACAAAGGCGTTGAAACTTCTAAAATCGAAAAAAAATCCATTGAGAAGGAAAAGATGTCCTTCCTTAATAGAGATAATAGTAGGCGTACTAGTTATAGTAAAATGAAAAATGAATCTTTTAATAAATATGTAAATAGCATAAATGTAGGTAGTGTGAATGGCGATGAGAACTCGTCAGTAGGAAAACTTATGTATAGTGACGATAAAAATAGTCCACTGAAAGATAATATTTTATTCGCAAGTGATATTAGTGATTTCTTAATGAATCCCACGGTGCAAACGTCTATAATGCATAATGTAAAAGATAAAATCGAAAAAAGGAAAGATCGAAATTTCATAGAAGATGTGAAAAGTTTTGAGAGTGGTCACTCCAAAGATAATATTACAGAAATTTTTAATAGCCTTCCTGTGGGGTTATTAGTATTACACCCGCAGCCTATGAATATTGGTAAGCAACTTTATTATTAACTAAATACTCCAATCTATGTGGTTTACCATAAACGTCACCCTATTTTTTTTTCTAAAATATGACAAGAATATAAAACAGGTCTACTTTATGAAGATACTTAATTACAATTTCTTTTGATGTTAAAAGATTGTATTGTCAATCATTTGTACACTATTATAAATAATGTGAAATTTATATCAATATATATACAATATCTTTATAAATAAGTAATTGCTATAAGTAGTAATAAAATTAATTATTTTATAACTATGAAAAATAAATTTCTTTATCTGAGATGATACTAGAGCGACATTTATAACATTAAATGCTATTTTTAGCAATAAATATTTAAGCATGCATGGATATTCATACTTTTATCTTGTCCTGAAATATATTTGCCTACAGATCCCACATTTATTCGAGCGGCAGTACAAATGGCAGTTGGCGCTTTGCGTCGAGTATTGCGTGCATGTGACGCTTGGTCAGCCCAGGCACAATTTTTTAGCGATGCAGTTGCATCTTGTTGGGATGAACCTAGTGACGCTGCCGCTGATTTTTCAACAGAATTCGTTAGGTAAGCATTGTAATAACATAATTTTCGTTTTAAAGAAATAAATTTTTGTTATAATTACACGTACATATTTCCGCTAACTTATTTTTCAATTACAGCCTTCGCCAAAAATTAATGAGCTGAAAATTACACAGCAAAAGCTTTGTTGAGCTCTAAACTTTTTATAAGATTCAGACAGTTAATGACCGACGTATAAATTGAGGATTTGGGATAAAATCGAGTAGATATTAGACTACGCGACGGCGGTGACTGATCACGGCCTTCCCCGTGATGAATTTCTAGTCTTTGCAGTTTCTATTAAATTATTAAGCCGTCATTCAGCTAAGGGTCATACTTAATATATCGTTTATGTCGCAATATACATGATTGATTAGAAAGTTTACTAGATTATAAAGTCATTATGTATATCTGAGTGTTGCACGTTTTCTGACAGATATCTTTATGAAAACGAGTGGATTTGTATTAAATATTTATTTTACAATCAAAAAAGGACATATGTACTATTATCAAATTTAGATTTTGTTCGATTGGTAATAAATATTGTATTAACTTATCTAATATAATAACAAAATTATAAGAATGATCCTAATTAACTGTAGCTAATATTATTTGCTATCGTTGTTACAACTTGCAGAGTAGGCTACTGGATTAGTACTTATATAAGCTGCTCTATTTCTTATATAAGAAAAGATTTCCCAAGTGGAAACGGAATTGACCACAGGCAGCCATTTTTCATGTACCCGCGCTGTAAAACGAAACGAACCTCATTTGTCAAAATCTATCTCGTGTCTAGTAGTTTTTTACTTTCGCAAAAAAAATGTGTAACAATTCAAATTCCTTATTAAAGTATATAAAGTAAAATTATCATGATTAAAAAAATAGTAGTGAACCCAATTCATAAATAGCAATGAATTGAAAAGCAATAAGAGTTAATAATTACAAATATGTTTAATTGTTTTTTGTTACTCTAATTAATGATAAAATTACATGTTTATATTTTAAATAACAGCCACATTCAAATAAACAGATAACAGAATGGAAACAAGCGTGGAGCATCATCATAAAAGCAAATTGACTAGCGGGTTCAAGAATGCCGCGAGATTACTTTTATGTCCCTCTATCTAAAAGGCGAAGCTTGGCCGGTTTATATCTGACCGCATTACGCTACATAAAACCTTATCTTCGAGACATCGCCGGCCAGACAAACTGCTTGTACTAGACACACCCGCCTAAAGCTTAATAATAGCATTCTTTGCCGAGCTCTTACAGCGATTAATTACTTTGGGGCGTACTAACTAGTCAAAACTGTTTTTTATCTAATTCTAGCGACCTGTCCCGGCTTCGTACGGATGCATTAGAAATCTTTTAATTTCAAGGCTTGTTCTATCTTTCACATATGTATTATACATATATAAACCTTCTCCTTGAATCACTATTGCTGAAAATGTAATGGAAAGATATTCAAATAAACAAGTTATTTGGATTATACTGATCAGCTGCGTTAGTTTATAGAATTCAGTTTATATGCTCTGGCCTATGTCGGTTTGTAATTACTGCAGTATGCTGTACTGCTATAAATATTAATATTACATCTGAATTACTGACAAACGTAACTATAATATATTATCCTAAATTGCGATATATAGTCTTGAATCTAGAACATTTCCATTAAGGCAACAGGAATGACATAGCTTTTTAACAAGATTGTGTAAATTAATATTAATTTACTATTTTTTGCGAACATACCCACAATTATGCATAAGAAATATATATAATTTTTTCATAATATCCGTTTTTTTCATATTCGTATTTTGTATACAATTATATTTATACAGTAGTATATAATTTTCTCCATTCATCAAAACATACAATAGATATAAAGGATCAAATATTTAAAATGTTCTCTTCTACGCTAACACATCATAGTAATATGAACTATATAGGCATAGATAGACATTTTTATTATAAAAGATGGGTAAATTTTGCCAAACGATAAAACGCATAATGCAACATTCGATCGTTTGTAAGTTATAGTGTCAAATAGAGGTTATTTATCAGTCGGATAGAAGAGACATAAATAATAGTAGGCGTGATCACTACAGGATTTATGAGTGCTTAATTCAGTGAAATTACTGGGAAGTTGAGTGCAATTAAATTCTAAATAGTGTAATGGTTTCGCTTATTTATTGCCACAGAGCGATCTGTCGTGTCGCGCCGAGCGACCACTTGACGTTGACGAGGGTACTTGAGCTACCGAATGTCGTGGTAACATGTTTTCCGAAAGACACGATATATTTGTTAATGGAAAACATAAAAAAGTAATAAAATTAGAAGATTAAAAATATTATTCTTCTTACGAAAACTACGTACCTCTACAGTATTATTTTCTAATACCTTTGAGTTTTGAATTTATAGTGCTTGGTCTTCTGATTGAAAAAAAGAGAATGTACAAAGAATTTATACGGGTGTCAAATATCATGACATACATCTATGGATGAGTATCGTCGAAAGCTTTATATGTGTACTTGATAGATATTATATGTATATGTCTAAATTATAGTAAAAATCATATTAAAATGATAACATTGGTTAAACTTAAAGTTATCAGTATAATTTTAATATAAAAATCTGAATAGGTATGGTACGCAACTGTGAGTACCGAAAATGTCACATGTCCCAACTGCAGAATTTTCAATATAAGAATTGGAAAAGTGTGAAAACATTTCAACCATAGCTTTGAGTACCGAAATCTAATATGTGCAGTGAGTTACTGCTATTTCCTACTATTATGTCTATGTTCGGGCGGAGTTTTCTATGTTCAGTTATTCAATAAATCAACGTCTTACCTACATTCTACTCGCACATTTCTTCATACCTGTTATATAGGTGCTAGAAGTACGTGAAATCAATTCGTGAAATGTTATATGTATGAACATAGAGATAGTTTGGGCTGGAGATTAAAATAGATGAAACTGGAGAACAAAAATTAACTGTCTACCATTGATGGTGTACCGTTGTACTACAACGGTACATTGTACAACAATCATACTGACGACAGCTGTCACGTAATTTTAACACACTGATTTACAGTATGTGGTTCGATTCCTGCGTATTACAAATATTTTGTACTTATAAGCATGGTGATTTGTATTAGTTTGCGTCTTTTATGTAATTAAAACTACAATTTCATAATGAATACTACTATACTTCACACAATATACACATGTGCCGTGTACCAAATTTTCTAAATGTTTGTCAAATACATTTTATATCTAAATCTTGTAAATTGATGAAGATTGAATAATTAATTTACATTACGGTACCTACTTATGAGTAAAATATTTTTTGATGTGAATTCTATTTTAATTCTTTGTATATAATGGACTAAACCTATCTATATATAAGTAGTAACTTATATGTAGATATCTGTCATCTTGAAATTCTAAATTATACAAAATGATTATCCTGTTCAACTAGTAGTAATTAATTAAATAGGCATACCTGTAAAATAAATAATAAATAAAGTTTTTTCACGTATAATAACCTAAAGTGAACTATATCATATTCCTAATGTGTTTTATTCTAAAAGAATACTCAGTTGGAATTTCTAAGAAATAGGGCCGAAATAAGAGTTCAAGAGGCTGTTATGGTTTAAGGGTCTACTTCCATATCACCACAGTAATAAAATATGCAAGAGGGTTGTTTGCTCACTAAGAATTTTCTCATTTTGTTACGTATTCATGTAAATGTGACTACGCGGTCGTACAAAAAAAAAGGACCAAATAATATACATACAATTGGCGCGTCATAATAATAAATTGAGTGTATCGACATGTAAAGTACCTGTGCTCGTTATTATGATACAAAAATATCGTTTATTCTTAACGCAAATAAAGCCTTTGGATATATTTTTGATTTTAAAAAATGATTTAAGATCAATTGTACATTAAATATTGACCTATGGGCTCCTTTTCTTAGGTTCACCTTCTTTACTTCATGAATGTACCATTTAGTAAGTACCTAAACATAGCAACAAATCGGATTAATATTATAAATAAAAAAGTGTATCTAATATACTTTCACACGACTAAATAGTTAAACGAATTGTAATAAAATTTTCCGTGACCTATATATTATATCATAAGAACGGAGATAGGCTGATGTATTTTAGAAAAGCAGGTGAAATAGCGTTGTACAACTATTTTCTTTAATACACATAAATAGAAATATAGTCTATTTCGAAGCTAGCTAGCACTTAAAATAGCACAGTCAAGACAGCTAACAAATAATAAAAAGTAAACAACTCTCGAGACTAACATTATTGATTTTAAATTAGAGTGAGAAATTCGGTTGAATTTTCTTAAATCCTATATCTCGTTCTTACACAATTTAACACTTAGACAGTTTTCTTTATTTCCATCATCCGTCATGGGGCGTCCTTACCTGTCCACCCCCTCATCTTTCACATATTAACACGCCAGGGCCCCCAAATTTCAGAGGGTGCTTACCGTAGGATTGCTAAGGGATGTAATACTTATCTGTCAGAAACTAATTGGGGTATTATTTTCTTAGTCCTTGCCATAAATTTAAATAAGACTGTTTAGATTATTATCTATAATTCTTCTGTACAAAAATAAATGCTACCATAATACTGATTATTTTATAGAGTAGACTTTGCACAAAGTTGTCTGCATGGATACCCATGTCTCACCTATTTCAGCCGTCAAACAACATGCTTTGTAAGTTGTTTCGGTTGAAAGATGAGATATGTCAGTAAAATTACAGGTAAATGACATCTTAGTCCTCCGGAATAGCAAGTATGATGACCACTAGCGTTACATGATGTCGTTATGTTCATGGTATTGTTCATATATACAGGCAAGGGTTACCACTTACCACCAGCCGATACCATAATCTTACTTCCCATTCCGGTTACATAAAAATATACAACAAATGTTACATTTTTTTACGTCAGTACTATAATTTAAGTTTTACGAATAGAAGAGGTAGAATAATTTTATAAAAAAAATATATTAAGTTAAACTAACATAATTTTAAAAGATGAATTTAGGCTTGGTAAGTCATGATTTATAAAATTATTACTTTTAGTAAAATGTAACAATATATTTCTATCTTTCGGACGATAAGACTAGAGAAAAATCTATGTAACTTGGTATCTAAAGACAATTATATAATACATACATACCCAGTATGTATTATATAACTGAGTTGCGGATCACAATGTAACATGTTAATCTATAATATAATACTATATCTATATACAAATAGTACTTATGATCTTAATTTTTATTAAAACAAGAGCCCAGGAAGAAGTTCTATTGGTTATAATTCTAGATAGTTATTCGTATAATCATTTTATTTATATATCTCCTCGGAACAAGAAGAGCGAGTTAAATTTTAGCTCGTAAAGGCCTAATGGGATTTTGATTAGATTTGTTTGGTCACATATTGTGCTTTCGAAGATACTTCTTACTAGTAAATTGTGTTGATATATTCTTAAAATGCCACTATAATAACTTGTAACAATACAAAAACAGGAAGGGTCGAGTTTATTCTATGTAATAGGAATAAAGAATAACTGGTTTATTTAAATTGTGCCCTCTTAGATCTAGGGGAGACTCAAGGATTTCCCGTACTTGACCTCTGTAATAGTGGTATCGGAAGGCACACGTTCTTTGAAGCGTTATTCAATAAAATACGTGAGTAGCATACAACCTATCCTTTCCGAGATAGCCGTAGTGTTTCAAGATAAAATTGTATGAATGCTGAGGTTATTCGATGATTAATAATATAATCTTACTTATTTTGTGGATAAAAAATTATTTATGATAAACATTATTATTTATTATATATTTTGAACGAACAATACTGTCATCGAAATGGTATAGGTAGCTAATTTGTGTATAAGTGTCTTTATTATAATTATTATGTGAAAAATAAAATAAATATACCATAAAAAAGATAACGAATATATCACATACCGAGTTGATACAGAATTAAAATTATATTATTTTTATCTCTAATAAGTACAAAATATCTACTATTATCACTAGTCCAATTAATTCCATCATTAATTAATGTCTGTGATATAATATCATAACATATAATTCATAAAATTGAATATTAATCATAAATTTTTACGGAAGTAAGTTGGAAAATTAATTATAATTGCAAAATGAATGGTTCCATAATTACGTCGAGTAACCTCATCAAATTAGCAACGTCCTTGTTATTACGTGAATAAGTACGTCACAATAGTAAATTATAAGCACATAAATTGGAGTACGTGCAAATAATGGAAGGCGAAATGCGACGTTATTTATTACTCAGATACGATCTCACCAATTCTACACACATGTGTTGTATAAATATAGATCTAGTTGTAAGAAAGTCGTAGAATTCAACATTTTATGAAGCAGACTATTATTTCATGATATAATAAACTAATAACCATTTCAAAATTGTTTGACTTATTGTAATAATCGCCATTAGTCATGTCAGAAAATAGCATGAGTTACGAAATCACGATTTGTGAAAATACTGTAAAAATTACAGATTAACAATGATTAGTTGTTATTATTATTGTATAATAAGGCGATGGGGCAGGTATAGGCATATGTACCTATATAATGATTCTAGTAACATATACCATGTAGATAAATAACTGCTAATGATGTCGATTAATAAAACTATCTTACGATATGATGACCTCATAGTATTTGACCTTATAAAATGTATATAAAATACAATTACGTATCTGAAACAATATCGCAAGCGCAATAATATTAATCAAGACCTGCACTCTAAACTCTAGGGAAAAATCTAATTAATCCTCTCACTTCGAGTTGTAAGACAATGCAATAGTACTTCTGTCAGGTGTATTGACTGAAACAAAGTTTTATCCCATTTAGAAGTAACTTTCTATATTGCCTACTGTAATTTTACCTACTTTATGTCGGGTTTGTAAAATTTTGCGGTTTTTAGCAATATTGGAGTGAAGAAACGTAACACGAAACATATTTTCTGTTATATTTGTTGTGCAGATATTTTGTTCTATTAATTTTTTTCATAATACCAGTGGTGCTTTACTAGTATGTACAAGTTTAGAAACATCATATTATTATGTTAAAACGAACAACTAATGAATAAATCATCTATGTGACGCCATCTATTATTTCATTAATATCTAGTAGTATTATAGGTGGCGTTTTGAAACTACCTAAAATTAATTATTTTACATCTTTGCTTTATTAAGCCTGACTGTGGACCTATATTTTTAGCAACATACCTAATCTATGAAAATTTCATTCTAATTTCTATATTATATTTCCTTTCAAGTAGAACATAATAATATAAGCAGGCAACAAATAGTTGTCGCCTCGTCATTAATTTACTATTTACAGTAAACTTGTAATGATTACCTATACCTGTCTCGGAACTTATAGGGACAAAATGAGAAAATCTGCATAAAAAATAGCCCTTTATGCAGATTCTTCTTTCAACTTTGATCTTAGTGATCCCTTACTGTAAAAGGCACTAAAAATTATGCCGAATTTCGGGGTTAAGGATTAATTAATTTGTTCACCCTTTGAATTAAAATTCGCTTTATTTCCGAGAGGTAATTAAAAGGGTCTGTGTGTTACCGCTAAGTCTCCTAAAGATTTCCTTAAAATGCTAATTACTGTTATTTATCTTAGCATAATATCGTTGTTAATAACACTGTAAAAGTGCGTATAAATGATAATTTAATAGGTTTCGGTTATATTATTACAGGGTTTTTGTCTTCAAGCAGACTTCCAAAATATTTAGTACAGATGAAAAAATGGTAAAAAGCAAAATATGTATATATATACTAATATAAATAATCTGTATCATTGGCAATACAGATTATTTATATTATATTTTTTTACTAATTTATATATACATATTTTGCTATTTATGTGCATTAATAAATAAATACATATTTACAATTAAATGCAAAGTGCGTTCGTATATTGCGTGCATCCAATAAAGTGACCTATTTAGTTGTCCTAATTTCGACTAAACTAAAAAAGGGAACTATCTGCGTCATGATATGTCAATAGTCTGCCATTATTTCGTCGAGTCAGCTTGCAAAGTCTGGCAGTCTGCCAGAATTCGCTTCCGTGCATTTCGTGTCGATTTATGATAATTTTATCGAGTTGGACTTTACCCAAAATATTGCTTTGTATCTTTAATTCAATTTGGTTAATTTCTACAAAACTCCACTTTTTCTAACTAATTAGTGATATTTGTGTTCACTTGGTAATGTTATTCTATATAGTTTAAATGGAAATTTTAACTTGACTATTTAAAAATAGTCAAATCTTACCTACTTATTTTTATTAATTAACCTATATCAAAATATTTTATGATGCTGAATATAGAATGAGTACGATTCTATTATATTGAGTACGTATAGGGAGTAGGAAAAAATAAGGTTTTAACATATTCCATTTGAGTTAATTAATAATACTAATTTATTAAAGGTATAAAAGCTTTTAAAATATATTAGGAACAATCGTGCAATCCCACTATGCTCTGTGTACCTTATATTTCGCGTAGGCAGCCCTATTCCTACGTAGGTTTTATCGTAAAGGTAAATACAATACTATGTACTTACTAGTTACCTATCCATCCTCAATACCCAGCAACAAAATCTAACAAAACAAGTATATGTATATATTTATGAATAAGTAAATAACCAATGTTTGCGCGGAAAATTATTGGCCACGCCCACATATTTCGCAGTGATTGGTTCATAGTTCAAATTTATTTTTTATTTAGTTTTATTACATTTATTCTAGTAGATTGTTTTCCAAATGCCATCACATATACCTATTTTTTGTAATTTAGTGTTATATATTTATATCTATGTATAAAAATTCTAAATTCCTCTTTTCTATAGTTGCTTATATTTGCATCCCATTTGTCTATCATTTATCTGTGAGGACTATATTGTAATACTACTATAGATATATTTTTATTCATTCATATAGATGTGAACTGTTTTCTATACGCAAAGAATGTTGAGATTTTTATTACTTAATTATGCTCGTAAAAGACATTTCAACAAATTATCCTACTTTTATTCTCATTCAGATGACGAAAGTCACGCGGCTTTTACTGATACAATATTTATTTTGACGCTCCATTATTTTTATCGTTTGGTACTGAAATAATAACATTACATACGCTCTCTGACGACATCTACTGAGTGGAAATAAAATATCTGTATAAAAAATAAAAGAAATTTGAAATTGAACAGTTACAATAATCAGTTATATAATTAATGTTTTTTATAAATTCTACTTTATTATTCAACAGTCCGTAAAAGAAGCGAAGTTTTAGTTTAAAATTTCAATACTTATCCGTTCCGACGTGAAATATTCAGTTGGTACACTTCAGGAGTTTTAAATGTTACTAAGCTGAAGAAAGATTTATGGGTTTCACACCGCTATGTTCTTTCACTACGGTAAAAGCTAAGTTACACAACTAAAGTCTGCACAGTATTTGATTTATTCTCAGAAAAAAAATATCGGCGTTTAATAAAAATATATGATTAAAAGTTGTATGTAGTATATAAATATACTTATTAATATGCGTATATTATAAAGTTTCCTTCTTTTGTCCTTCCTTACTACCAAATTATCTTTTTCTTAATTATATATTACATAGTTATTGTGTAAAAAAAAATTGTGACCATTAATAATTTTGTAAATATAATATGGATTTGTTTGTTACATCTTAACCGCTCAACCAATCCATTTGTATATGGCATTCTAATTTTGTTTTTAACTATTCCATACATATACCAATGTATTATATATTGTTGCAGAGAAACTCGAATAGCATCGGCAGCTGTTTTATCAGGAGGTTCAGAAAGATCCGAAAAAACACTTACAGCTTTTTTCGCCCTTCTAAACTTAGTACCAGGACAGGATGGTGAAAATACATGGAGACAAGTTGGGAGAGTTGAAGGCCGTAAAGTTAATCTCCATACTATTGTATGGCCAGGTGGGCGTCTTGTGGCTCATGGACAATCAGATGGTGCCCGTACCATTTTTCGAATTGTAACTGCTTTGGCTCCACCTTTCGTAATGGAAGGAGAACTTGACGAGGACGGCCAATGTCTTCGTGGTTTACCTTGTCACCGTCCACAAACTTCAGATCGAGATAATCTTACGCTTGCCTTTAATGATTTAGATAGAGACACTGATCAAGAAACAAGCGATTTCTTTTTCCCCACTCCAAAACCCATGTATTCTAAAATGGCTACACATTGCTGCTATGGATTAGCAATGGATCTTTTAGAAAATATAGCTCAAGAGTTGGAGTTTGATTTTCATTTGTATATAGTCGAAGATGGTTTATACGGATCGAGAAAATTAGTGAAACCATTTCAGAAATTTAATGAATATAGGAGTACAACAAATGAATTTTTATTAAATCAACAAAGCTATCGGTCTCAATATCGTAACGGATATAAAATATATAGTGAAGACTATTTATTCGGAGATGAATCAGAAGAAGATCCTGAAAAGTGGACTGGTATCGTAGGAGATTTAGTTTCTGGTGCTGCCCATATGTCGTTTGCAGCTCTAAGTGTATCCTCAGCAAGAGCAGAAGTAATAGATTTTAGTCAGCCATATTTTTTTAGCAGTGTTTCAATATTAGCTGCACCGAATCAAAGACCCGACATACCTTTACTAGCATTTCTATTACCATTTTCACCTGAATTGTGGATAGCCATATTTACATCCCTTAATGTAACCGCAATAGCGGTGGCAATTTACGAATGGTTGTCACCCTTTGGCTTAAATCCTTGGGGACGTCAAAGATCAAAGAACTTCAGTATATCAAGTGCCCTTTGGGTGATGTGGGGTCTCCTGTGCGGACATTTGGTGGCGTTCAAAGCTCCAAAGAGTTGGCCTAATAAATTTCTTATTAATGTGTGGGGTGGTTTTTCTGTGATATTTGTCGCTAGTTACACTGCCAATATAGCCGCCTTAATAGCAGGTTTATTTTTCCATAATGCTGTTGATGACTATCAAGGACGTAGTAATGTACGTATATTCTATTATATTTTAAGTATATATATGTCAGTACGATTTTTTTAATTATTCCAGTCTGTTATTATTGTAGTGGCTTTCTTTACGAGTGGGAACAGCTAGATCGTCCGTATCAGAATATTATGTTCAACGTAACAATCCACAATTAGCACAACAGATGCGTCGTTATGCTCTTCAAGATATTGAAGACGGCATACAGCGGCTCAGGTAAAAGTATATTCGATATTGAACAGTAATTGCTTAAAGTTTATACGATACTAGCCACGTGAATATAGTCACTTTGACTAATGTGTGTGTGTGTCTGTGTGTGTTTGTCTACGTACATAAAATTTAATTGAATTTACTTGTCACGGTTTTATAGTTTTAAAATGATTAGAAGAATAACATTTAATTGTTTTCTTTATTATATTTCTATTATGCATTAAAGTAATGTTACTCAGCAATATGTGTATTTTATTGTGCTCTTTATTATAGCTCAGTATATTTACATAGCACTCTCAGTTTTAGAGGTAAATTTTTATAAGGGTTAACATTTCGCTTTTACGATGGCATAGTCAACGTTATGTTATTAATATTTGTTACTCTCTATGACAGCATTTATTTAACATGTTAAATCTCTGCATATTCTCCCATTATTTTAGAAATGGAACATTGGACCTCCTTATAGCAGATACACCTGTCTTAGATTATTATCGTGCTACTGATCATGGGTGTAAATTACAACGCGTGGGCGATCATGCTCTTGCTGAGGATACATATGCAATAGGCATGGCGAAAGGATTTCCTTTGAAGGTATTATAGTTATATTATATTAGTTACTATATATACAAATTATCTTATATTAGTAATATATAAAATAAATATTACCGGATTTCGATCATAAGGTTTTATTACTATTATCTAACTTTTACGGAGGGATATTTGTTAGTTCGATAAGAATAAGTATTTAATTAAGAAAATTTTCGAGCAGTTTAATACACAATATGAAATCAAAGTCCACCAAATGCTAACCATTAATTAAACATAAAATTTCTTAAAATTACGGACAATTTAACTTTAAGTACAAATACTGAGTAATTCCATTTCTTGTATTTCTGTAGTCCTTATTTGATATTCTGTAACAAAAATATGTTACAGTCTATTTCTTGATTCGTGGCGACGTCGACGGTAAAATGTAGGTCATAAGTGACATTTTCTAAACAGATATCCTAATAGCTATATCTACATCATCAATATATTTTCATCATGAGTTTGAGTAGAAGGACGACGAATATAGTGGGGGGATGGTTCCGGATCTTTGCTAGGCAAGATTGATGGATGGCTCACGAGCCTTCTAATGTTGTGATCGATAGCAGGGTGTCATGTAGCTTCGTCTGCCGATTATACGTCATTTTATCTTGACGTTGTTTAATATACCTTTGAGGTTTACGCAGACCAAAGACATAAATCTGTAGATATGGCCAAGAGAGTTTTTGTGTCGTATTTGGATATAGAAATTGTTGTATAAATATAAATTCGTTTTTTATATCAGGGCAAACATAACTAAATGGTATATAATAAATGTGTTACAATAGTCTACTATGTTAGGAGTCACGTTTATAATATGTTCGTTTATCTATCTGATACTGCTGAAATATCAAGTTTCATTCCCTTTAAATTAACCATTAGTTTTATGATAAGTATACAAACATTTTAATTTACATAGTGTCTAAATGATATGTAATTTCACGATCTGTAAAATTATACCACTGGTAAAGCTATATAAATTAAAGTATTTTAAATCACGAGAAGTCAACAAAATTACATATTATTTTAGTAACCTCATGGTACCCAATCAATTAAATTCTGAGTAATTTTGTTTTTTGGGAACAATGTACTAAAAATGTGTCTAATATATGTTTACCTCTTCTTTTGACCTTATCATTTAAAATTTACTATTGTTCTTTATTTCAGGATAGTGTATCTGCGGTCATTGCTAAATATTCCTCAAATGGATACATGGATATTTTAACGGAAAAATGGTATGGAGGACTTCCTTGTTTCAAACTCAGCCCTGATTATGGAATTCAACCAAAACCACTAGGTATTTATTTTCTCTATAAAACAATATTTGTCTTAGAATTTACGATGCTACAGCGGAAAGCACAAGAGTAATTATTTGCTTATTCATGTGTACATACAAAGTTCGTAGAACCTCCGGAATATGTTAGCTGCGTTTTTGCTTATTTATACAACGGTTATTAAATATTGTTCATCTATCATTATAATTTTAATGTATATTCAGTAGATACATATACCGAGTCAGCTGGCTCGTCTCTAGCGGAAATTTCATTAGAATTTATCGCCACCCCCGCGTTAATCCAACCCCTCAACGAGGCGCTGGTGTAGGGAGAGGTATTACCGACGGTCGACCTAAAAGATTAAACATGGGATTTATCGTTTTAAAAAATGAGCTGAAACGAAGTATATGTTTATTCCTTATTTTATACGAACTCTTGACAAAACATGGTTAAAGTAAAACGACTCAACGGAATTACATGTAACTCCCCAGAGTCGTTACCGCTTCGACGCCTCGAAAAGTTTCTTTGAAGAATTTATTATATTGGCTATTTAATTTTTACAGCTTTATGCATGCAACTTTATGTACTTTTAACTGACTAAAAAAAACTGGTAATATTTTCATTATGGAAATATATTTTATTTCTAGTAATATTTTATAATTTGATTAGATCTAGATCCAGGTGAAGTTAATAAACAGATAGGATTTTAAGAAGTGAAAGATTACTCTTTTGTAATATCATAGATAAGATATTATTACATAATAATGTTAAACTCTTAAACTAGTACTGAGTAATACAAATCATTATCTGTAACAATCAAATTAAGTAATTATCAGAGTAGGTAATATATATATACAATTTAACATTTTTTTAGTAGTAGTGTTGTTATTCATAATCTATTCATTGAATTATATTAAATCATGAAACGTAATTTTTTATTGGTAGTAAAAGACATACAACGTATTTTATTGTGCAGTCCAAATTACAAGGTATCCTTAGCCAAATCTCAGCAACTGTTACAAAAGTTTACGGAACCAAAATGACTGTTCTGTATGTACCTAAGTATAGATTTGCTCAACTTTTTCGTATTTGTATTCGATATTGTGAAAGTTCCGCACTAAATGAACTAGGTGTTTTATATAGAACCACTGACTGATACTGCGAAAATCCTGACCATAAAATAAGTTTTGCGATGGGATAATTTCATCACCGCTTCATTTTGAGACAATTTAGGCTTTGTATATGTACCAAAATTAAATTAATAAAATACAAACATTTTATCCATTTGTTCAATCTTTTTCACTTCTAGAAATATAGTAAATTAGTAAGTCTAAGTTTATTACTTCTAGAGATTTCCGTATTTTAACTGTGCCAGGACAAGGATTAAAGGATTATTTAAACAGCTGCATTCTTAAGTTGTTTTAATGTATTTGTAAATACACACAAATACATAGATTTTCTTTATTATTGTTTGCCAATAGTGTTCAGTTATAAATTTTTTTGTGTATTTTTTTATATCCGTAAAGTAAGTAAGTAAACCATAATATTGTGATACTATTTTATGTATTTTAATAATTAATGTAACTATTCAAGAAGGTTGTTTAATAGTATAATGTTATTAATAACAAGGTATTGTATGTAGATAAGTAATAATAATACTAATGTTATTTACATATTTAAGTGTTCGTGTACCATATGTTATGTACTAAGTATTAAGGTAACATTTGTTCTCGAAGCTTGATGATGAATCCTTCCGTAAAATACGATCAATCAATATAACAATCGCTCGCATGGACATCCAACAAATTGCCGATCTGATGGATCGTGTTAATTGAATCAATTCGGAGTAGCGCGAAAATCAAATCTATTATTGGTTTCAATAAACAGCAGGACTTATGTGGTATTACATCCAAAATTGTTTGTCATTATTTTGCTATTAATCAAATAAACTGCAATAAATACAAAATAGGTACTTTAAAAAACTTATAATCTTCTCCAGGAATACTTATTAGAAACGGAATATTCTTTCGTAATAATTGTTATCTACTAGAAGTATGTTCCTAAAACAATGTTGTCTTAGTTAAGGATTTCAAATCTTAGAAGTGTTCAATAATCTTAAATAAATAAATATGTATGTACGACCTGAAAATATTTATAATTAAATAATAACGTTAATTATTATTATTTTAAATATTCTGTAGGTCATTGTAGGTATTTATTCAATTATCAAACAATATAAAATAAATACAATACGACAAAGTAAAGTAAAATAACTTTATTAACTAGAAAAAGAGTACAATTCATTTGCACTGTGATTTTCTCACAACGAATGTCTGCTTTAAATTATATTATTCTGTGCTGAACACTAACCTCGTCCAATTTAATTAAATTAGACGTAGTTTTCATTAAATAAATTGCTGTCATTTGAAGGTGTGGCAGCGGTGGCGGGCGTATTCATTCTCCTTGGCGTGGGAATGGTCGTTGGGTGCCTCATATTGATTCTAGAACATCTGTTTTATAAATATACCCTGCCTGTTCTGCGGCACCAACCAAAAGGAACTATATGGAGAAGCAGAAATATTATGTTCTTCAGTCAGGTTAGTAAAATTTAATTATTTCACGGTCTCGTTGGTCTAGCAGTTTAGCACACCCTTTACTTTCGATGGTATAATATATAATATATATAATAGTTAACACAGCCTATCTATAGAGGGGATCTAATGTACTCACGTACGAAGAACGGGCACTCCTAGTTTTAAATGAAATCAATTACTAAAACAGGTGCCTACAATAAGTATTTCTAGAATTAAAATTGGTTTCATCATTAAATGGAAATATCATTATTATAATAGAACCTGGGCATCTAGATTATCTAGTATTAAAGTATTATAAATTCTAAGGTTCTCGGATACTGAAAGATTGCCTAGGGTTGTCCACTCCTATTTTGAAGTCACTTTGTTTACTCTACTCTAGCGTGAAGCCAAGATGGCTTCTGGTCGGATTATGTCGGTCTAACCACAGTTCACTGCGGCTTTTAACGCTGAGCGGCCACTTGTCTCTGCGGCCGCGACATAATCTTTTTGAATTCTGTTTGTTACAACTGTCTCCTATTGTATTACAATAGGTTACAAATTAATGAGCTAATGATGTTTGCTTAATGCATCTAATAGGGTCAAGCGTAATAATGTTGGACAATCCGTTTCAGCAATGAAATAATACAAGTCTGAAATTTTTTAACTTCATTAACATTAGATTACCCTATCATTAGAATATTTATTTAATTTAACAACAATAATATTTAAGATAGACAATTAACTATTACAACAGTATTTAAAATGAATATTAAAATTTATCTGAATATCCAATAATACAACCAAAAAAATAAGTCTTGTAGCTTTACATTTTCAAGTTGTTATAAAATTTTATTAATTTAATTTAAATGTTTAAAATCTTTGCTGCCTAATACTCATATTATCTATACATAATATTAAACAAAGTCTTCCACTGTGTCTATCTGTAATACTATAACTAACAGTTTTTTTATACGGGTATTATATTTGAATAAAGTAATTCCTAACAAAGGTGTAAAATGTATTTTCTATTACTCGTCCGATGTCGGGACGGGTTGTGAGTATCTAATAATTATTATATTATACCCTGTAGTGATTATCTGGTAAATTTAAGAGTGAGTTCACTAACGATGAGTCTACACATGTTACATAACGAGTCAGAAACGAGTAGGTAACAATTACTACATTATGGATACATTACAATTGCATTATGTGATGATAACACTAAGCTTGTTCTAGCACAGAAAAGTCTCGTACGAAGTAAAATTTTTACGTTATATTTCATACTATACTCGCGGTTAATACTCACTGTAATGGCAAAACATGTCATGTTTCAAACACTCTTTTTAGCAATGTCTTAAAAGCTTAGGTAAAAGGTTTACTGGATGTAAAACTCACCTACCATCAATGTATATCTAATATATAGTAAAGATTGATAGACAAAAATAAGATATTAGATTTGCAAACTTTAAGGAAAGATTAGAAACTGAAGTGAATTGATTGTATTCCTTTGTAGTATTTTAGTTTTATAAGGTATGTAATTTACTATGTAATAATTGGATTGTGTTTGTTACAGAAACTATACAGATTTATAAACTGCGTAGAGTTAGTGTCTCCACACCACGCTGCACGAGAACTAGTTAATACAATCCGCCAAGGACATTTCACTTCACTATTTCAAAAGAGTGTCAAAAGGGTAATTGACGTTAAATATTGTGTTCTATATCAAACAGATTTAAATATCCAAAATTATATTTTACATTTATTGTAATAAAAAGTCTAGTACTATGTCTATAACATTTTTATCAGATTACGACAGGAATGTACATTTGTTTCAGAAGGAACATGAACAACGCAGACGCCGTAAAAGTAAAGCTCAATTATATGAAATGATTCAAGCTATTAGAAGGTAAAGTATCATATTCTTATTATTATATCATAATCCTTAGTAATAAAAAACATTATATATAATTATGTCTTTTATTATCACTTTAGGGTGCAACAACGTGACCATTCATTAGGTTCTATAAAAGAACAAGAGCCAGTAGAAACAACAGAAGCATCAGAAGAACTTACTGAGTCAAAATTTCTTTCACCATCTCCGGAAATTTTGGCACGTTCTCCAAGACAAGGTCGTTCTCCTCGACAGCTTCGTTCACCTAGAGGACGTCGGAAAAGGTGTAGCCTCGCTGGTCTTAATGTACGAAGATTTAGCACTGACTCAGTACTTGATTCAGAATCAGTGTCAGTTTCCAATATATATGAGCGAACTAGTCTTAATATAGGAAGAAGACTAAGTCGCGACATCAGTTGTCTAACTAGTTCACCTCCTGATATTAACAGTCGTCTAAGAACACCATCACCAATGGTAAGAAGAGCTGAAGGCTCATCTACAAGATCTTACCAAGATGTTTCTGAGAGATCTGACAATTATATAAGTATAGATGGACCAACATCGAGAGCAAGTGTAGAAATTCTTGTTTCCGAAGAAAATGACTTGCCACCTGTACCACCATATCCAAGAGTACCGCCCATGGGTGCGAGATCAGAGTTGTCTCAATTGTCTGAAGAAGAACTTATAAGATTGTGGCGAAGTTCAGAGCGAGAAGTTAGAGAAGCATTATTGGCAGCGTTACAAGAAAGACGCGCCAATCTAGATCCAAAACAAGATCCTGGATGAAATACATTTAGTGGTACATTTTTGGAAAAAAAATGGTCAGTAGAATCACTTAGAATCTCTCATAGCTGCAAGACAAGAGAGCGATAAGGAGTATCGACATGAATATGTGTGCAGTGGTTGAGTTAGTGCCTTTTTTATATTGTTTGATGCGGACACGTCTTGCAGGCGTTAGTTAGACAATCGGTGTTCATTTCAGTGTCTTGCTATTATTATTATATTTGAAGGGCTGCCTTATTTTAACATTTAATTGCTTCACAAATTTTGGGTCCGCGTCAAACAATCTAAATAATGGTACCACTTAGAAACTTAAATTCGGAGATTTTTACGTCCAGAAATCATGTTAATCATTAAATAGAAATTTGAGGAATTGTAGATTTGCGAAATTATAATATATAATAGTAATTTATGTAAAATATAAAATAGCGGTGACCAGACGAAGATAAAGTGCTTTATCCTATATAGTCGACGTAGTGGATGATAGATATTTTCATTCAATCAATGAACATAGTAATGTAAAAATAATTTAAGAATATTACAATACTATGGAAGCAATTTAAAATTGAGCAGATGTGTAGTCGTAGTATATTATAATAGTTGAAAACCATCATTTTGGACGCAAACACAATATTTATATAAAACAATCATATTGAATTATGTAGAAAGAATATTCATGTAATAAGAAATATTTCTCAAGTTTCTCAAAGTTCTCCAGGATAATCAATATTCTTGTTAATTTTATTTGTATAAAGAATACTTCATTTCTAGTAATGTATGTACGGCAGGAAAACTAATAGTTAAAAGGTATGCTGGTTCCTACATTTATAATGAATGGCTATAAAAATTGAATGTACAACTTAGTAGTACATGTGTTTTCGATGCATTTGATACTCAGAACATACATTGCATTGTCGATTATGTGCTTCGAATGGCCCCAAAAAGAGATATCGCTTATTGAGTATCCATTCTACCTGCAGATATTTAAATCTTTAATATTTATTATTAATTATAAAATAATTTCTGTTCGACATATTTTTAGATACACTTAATAAAAAAAAGATACAATGTTTAAATATTTGCAAAAATAACTATATTTACAAATAGCTACATTATTTTATTCAAAATCTGAATGTTAACGGATATTCAAATAGTTGAAACACATACCTATAGATGTACAATTCTTATATGGGTAACTTTACTATTTTTCAATCCTAAATAATAATAATAATAATAATACATTTAACGATTTACAAATATTGCTTGTTATAACATCGAAGCACCAGTTATTAATTTTTAATATATTTATGATATAATTTTTTTATTTAATAAATAAATAAACAAATTATTTTAATATGTTTCTTATCCACCGATTAATGACAGAAAACGTAATATTACGTATTACTAACTGAATTCCAAATTCCGGAAATTTAATAAATAAATTTAATAACCAGAGCATAATTATTATGATCTCAAAAATGTAGTTTTACTAAATCACTGTTATGTATAACCCTTATACAACAATATTAATCAAGTTTATTATTAAAATTTACATAAAGAGATATCAAATTGTCAATGCTACATAGCAAATTTATACACTATACAAACTTCATTTTTATAATATTTCATGTTTACCCATATATGTGTACATCCAAGTCCGATTGATATATATTCATCAGTTATAAAATGAGGATAAGTGTAGTGTACATATAATTCATATATACTTACATGTTATTCTGTAAATGTGTACAGAACAACATACCACATTTTACCTACTAAGATGTTGTGTGCTCTTACCAGCTTTTATATAGTCTCAGAAGAATGTCACTTGAACTACTAGTGTCTAATTTTTAGTATATTATTTTTCTAATCCTAACGATCAAAGATATCTTTTTTATTACAGAAATAATATATTGAAATTGAAATTGAATTTTATACTACTTCTAGTACAGATAACTCACAAATATCCCTTTTTTTATATTTGCCTGTCTTATTACGTATATATCTTTAGTTTCCCATAACTCTATTTAATACAAAATTTTGTCGTTAACTAAGTTAATATATTTAAAATTACTAATATCTACATATACACACACATAATATATTAGCCTTTACCCACCCCTGCCTATAAAGGAGTTATAATTGGTACGAGATATAACGATTTGTAAAATGAGTCGAATCTTGTACGTAACAAAGTAATTATCCTGATAAAAATTGTCGGTACAAACAAAAATTAATATTATATTTTATTCCATTCATTTGCATTTATATTTTAACTCTAGATTCGATTATTATATTTCTCATTTTCCCATGGTACTTTATAAATAAATTTTCATAAATATAATAAAAAATTAAATTAAAAAAACTGCCAATACTCTCTAAACATGTAGAAAATAGAGTTTAATACACTTCTTCCTAGACTTGCACCCTCGTAGGCCTTAGTTTAGATTTTTTTCTCTCTATTTCTTACCTAACTCTACAAAAGCTTTAGCTATATTTGCATATTAGAATCCTGTATTATATTATAATTAAACATATAAGCAATATTTTCCCCCTAGATTTTTATACTTAAACTTTCGCTATTATATAAAACGCATTAGAATATATACTATCAAGGGATATTTAGTAATCAATTATTATACTATGTTTGTCAAATCTTTACTTTTATGGTTAAAAATAAATCTGAAGAAAATATAATACTATACTATAATACGAATAGAGAAATACCAAAAGGATAATGACCATTCATCCTTAGACAACATAATAAAAAAATAGTATTAAATTATAAGCTTTCATATTGAAGAATTACGAGTAGTATTCATGGCTCTTTTTCAACAGCTATGAATTCGTACGTCCGAAAGCATTGCTCATAATTAACTAGTACAAAAAAATACGCGTTACAAACATTGTGTTATCTTATTACTCTCATGTTTTGATAATTTATGGAGAAATTCCATTAAAATAATGAACAATACTTAATAAAATGTATGTATAATATGACGCTTTACCAATATTAAAATAAAATTTTATTTGGAACTCAATACGCTAATGGATTTTATATAGTGCATTACAAAAGATCAGGCGAGCGGAGTAAGATTATTATGAGGTAATTGATATTAATCGGAAATTAAACCTTTTAAATTTAATCTATTACGAAGGTAGCCGCCAAGCGATCGATGGCTCTATCGCCTGTTAACATCGATTTTCGATATTCTTGTATTCACAATGATATTTTTATATTTGCTCAACAGATATATTATTTTACGATATTTTCATTTAACTACAAGATGTTAATAAATATTTTTGATGTGTGATCTATTGTTAATCTCTTACCAAATCCATCTTTGGACCAAAATTTTCTTTGATGTATGTAATGATATAAATTAACAACAATTCTATTGGATGTCAGTCATCTAGTGATATTAAAGTCTTATGCATTTCTCTCTTAAATATATCTACAATACTATGAGTAGATATTATGAAATTGCTTATAAGTAGAATATAAAGTAATTAGATAAATATAGAATTTAAAATATATTTGTAAAATATCAGTTTGTACACGAATATTAGAAAGTGTTTTTATTTTTTATTTTACATCAACTAATATATGGTACATACACCAGCATGAAACTTTATTAATTCTCGAAATAAGAAATTCAATATTTTACATGTTCGTAATACAGATGTTAATATTAACAAAATTAAGGTAATTATACTATATTCTAAAGAAATATTATATTTTCATGTTATTTCAATAAAATGCAGATCTTATTCAGTTAACTAAATACATTATATATGACATTATTAAAATATCAGTCGGTTTTGTATTTTTAGATATTTATCAAACAAACTCAATTATATTATTTATATATTTGTAGGACATTAACAGATATTCTATTTTAGGTACTAATATTTGACTTCATAACATTTTATACAGAAAAGTTTAAATAGTAGCCTTAAATATGATTCACATTCAAGTACAAATAAAATAAAGCTTATAAAGATTAACGTATATTTTATTTATATAACTTAATAGAAATAAACTATATATTATATACAGTCATTATGTAACTACTACTTCTCAGTACTACTTTTCAATGTTTAGTGGCACTACACTATTTTATTTTTGTTGATAAAGGATCTTCCTCCTTAACTTTTACCCCATGAGACTAATAGAATGAAATAGATTCTAGCTATTTAAGAAATAATAAAAAATATATAGTTGAATATAACTTTCTTATTCACACACTTTTAATTTTCAAAATCAAAGAACAGGAATTAAACCGAAAAAAAATAATTAAATAAACATGTAAGCTACTCGTGAAATATTTTTATGTATTTGATGTCAACCAAGATCGAAAAGTTTAATATTCTCTGCAGTACCTACTCTCTTATATTAACATACATAACATATAACCTACCGACTCTATTGGTTGACTCGCTACAAAATGGCTAGTGCAACTAAGCTCTGAATCCTGTCAGCCTTGAACATATGTGTAATCAGACATTGATAACATCGTTTGTAAGCGGTATTAAAATATATCCGCGTATTATGTATTGTATCTTGTATCTCTGTAAGTATTGCAGAGCAGAGATTGAAACTCTATACATTAATTTCTATATATTGACAATGTTTCTCTACAGTGATATAGTGACATAAAGCTGTTCCGTAGTACTAATATCGAGCAATATTAAAATCTGTAGCGGGTAATAACCATATATTGATTAATATGTGAGCACATTCATATTGCGACAACCTGTCAGTGATATCTATTACATAGTTTACATATCGCAGGAATACTTGTTATACCTACTACGAATACAATTTATGTATCTCGTAACAGATATAAATAAACTAACAAAAACATTGATAAATTAAATTACTTTTTAAACTATCCGACTAAAATGTTGTTTTGTCATCGACATTACCTAAAATTTTATCATACTTTTGGGTAGTATAGATGCATTTCTAAAATACGATACTAATTATTAACGTCAATGTAACATATATTAAATATTTATAAACAAATCTCTACGTCTTGTTGGTTTGACAATATTCCTATAAATATTTAAGTATCAAACACAAATAGTAAAATAATTCGGTTTCTAACTTTCTATTAATTAGATAACCTGAAGAAAAATATATATTAAACTACATGTAATAAATACATTTTAGATT